CAGTTCCAGTGAAACCGATTCCTGCTTATCCTTGTTATTATGGTGCTGTTACTATTATTATTTTTTATGATTAGCAGCAGCATGGACTCTGTTGTCAGACTGGGTATAAATTTCAGCTCTAATAACAGCTGTGGGACTTGGGTAAAGTACTCAACTTCTACATGCCTCAGTTTCCCTATAGGTGCAATAAGGATCTTAGTCATATCTGCCTCACGGGGTTGTCATGAGCATTGAATGAGAAGATGCATGTGCAGTGTTCTGCACTGTGCTTGGCACATAGTAAGTGCTCAATGAAAATAACTGATATTTTTATCATTATTATATTATTTAAGCAATCAGAACATTTCAAATGTTGACAAAGCTGGGAAATCAAACAAAGAAGAGTGGGGGAGGAGCTAGGATTCATTAGAACATTCAAGTAGACAAACATGTAAAAGGAAACCCCTGGTGACTTGCCACTTTATATCTGGAAGGCATTTATTCCACAGGTCAATAAACTGACATGGGAGGGGACTTGGGCTATGTAACTACAGAATGAATTTCAGAGGCTATTTTCTCTATTTTTTTTTTTTTTTTGAGTTGGAATCTCACTCAGTCGCCCAGACTGGAGTGCAGTGGCCGCTCCTGGCCACCGTAGCCTCGCCTGCTGGGCTCCGGCGATCTTTCCGCCTCAGCCTTCCAAGTAGCTGGAACTACAGGCGCACGCTACCATGCCTGGCCAATTTTTTGATTTATTGTAGAGATGAGGTCTCACCAAGTTGCCCAGGTGGGTCTCGAACCCTCGGGTTCAGGCAATCCACTCACCTCAGCCTCCCAAAGCGTGGGATTACAGGCTGAGCCACCGAGCCTGGCTTATTTTCTCTATTTTTAAGCAGAAAATAAAATATAGGTATAATGGGCTGAATTATTTCTCTCCAAAATGTGTCTGTTGAAGTCCTAATCCCAAGGACCTCAGAATTTGACTGTATTTGGATACAGGGTCTTCAAAGAAGCAATTAAGTTAAAATGAGGACATTAGGGTGGCCTAACCCAATACGACGGGCATCCTTATAGAAAAGGAAGGTTAGAATATAAGGGAAGACCACGTGAGGACATGGGGGAAGACAGCCATCTGCAAGACAAGGAGAAAGGCCTCAGAAGACAACTCTGCTGGCATCCCAATCTCAGATATCTAGCCTCCAGAACTGAGAGAAAATTAGTGTCTGTTGTTTAATCTGTGGTACTTTACTATGGCAGGCCTACAAGACTAATACTATAGGTCATAGAGCATACAGAGACGCCCCCTACCCCACCATCACAGTCATTAGAAGGATGTAGTTCTGTAAGTTTACTTATGCAGGTTCTCTAACTCATACAGCAGTCAGACTCCTTCATGGCATCACTGCATTGTTCAAGGCCAAGGTGAACAGGAATCCACCTTGAAAAGCTCTTCACCATTGTTCTGCTCCTTGGCTGCAGTCGGCACTCCACCCACTCTACCCAGTCCAACCCAGCCAGTCACCAGCTGCCTGTGAGAAGGCATCAGTTCAGATTCATCCACACTTAAAGATCAAGACCAACTGATCATGAATCACTGACACCATCTTTCTCTGACCTAGGGCATGGCAGCTAGAAGAGGAACACTCAGGTGTGTAGAGCGGAAAAGGCCCTAGAAGTCCTCTACCCTGTCTCATCCACTACTAGTGTGTGATCCAAAATGACTTAATTCCTCTCTGTCTCATTTTTTATATCTGCAAAGTGGGGATAATAATCCTATTTCACGGGATCATTGAAAGGATTAAATCATTAAGTGTATGAGAGATATTCGTAACCCTTCATGCTTTCTACAAAGCCCGGGGATTCATTCATTCAACAAACTGTTTAGAGCATTTACTTTGGGCCAGACTCTGTATAGAGTACGCATTACATTTAGGCATCCAGAAATACTAACTGCATGGTTTGAATGCAGTAAGATGAGTGGCATGTGGTTTTTGCCCTCATGGGAATCCACACTCAAAGGGAGATTAAGACAATAATGCGGGTAGCAAGGGGTATATTATAGAATTGCTCAAGGTGCTGTGAGAACACCAAGCACCACTAAACCCCCTCTGTGAGTCTGGGAAGGTCATGGGAGACATGGTCTCTGAGTAGTCAGTGAAGACAAGAGTTAGTCTGGTAAAGGAGGTTAACTGCAGGGGAGGGAGGACATTTCCCAGCTAGGGACATAGAGTAGAAAAGAGTAGAAATAAAAGCATTTAAGTATGCACTAGAACAGTGTTTGTGTCTTTGTTTGGCTTCTTCCAGAAGCAAACCTTGAGACAAGGAGTTGAGTGCAAGTCATTTACTCGGTGGTGGTCCCAAGAATCATGGGTAGGTACAAAAGTGAAAAGGAGGGCAACTGATAAGTGATACATTATCAGATTAGTGACCTCTGTGGGAAACTGGAGCTTAACCCCACTGGGAAATTTGGGTAAATCATCTGGCCAAAGGGGTAAAGTACTATCCAACCAATTCCCATCAATTGTTGGTTTCCCAGGGCTTTCCGCTTGTGGCTCACATATGGGCAGAGTGCCTTCTAGTGACCAGAGATAACCCCATGCGGAGAAACACAAGTGCTGACCACTGAACTTTGGGTGAGAGAATGCAGGCAGGGTCCCTGTGGCATCGGCCACCGTGTGCCCACGCTGTACAGATGCTTCTGGAGCACAGGGTCCAACATGGAGAACTGCAGACACTGAGGCTGAAGAGATAGGTGAGGCGAGGGCATACATGGGTGTTGAGCTTCAATGTTTGAGCTTTACGCTGAGGGCAGTGGTAGGCCACTGGAAGGTTTTAAGAATGGGAGAGGCGAGGTCAATGTTGTATCTTTAAAAGGTCACTCTGAGCCGGGCTCGGTGGCTCAGCCTGTAATCCCGCACTTTGGGAGGCAAGGTGAGTAGATTGCCTGAGCCCGCGGATTCGAGACCTGCCTGGGCAACTTGGCATGACCTCATTTTGATTATAATAAATCAAAAAATTAGCCGGGGGCGTGGTAGCATGTTCCTGTAGTTCCAGCTACTTGGAAGGCTGAGGCAGAAGGATCACCAGAGCCCAGCAGGTCGAGGCTGCGGTAGCCGGGAACGGCCACTGTACTCCAGTCTGGGCAACAGAGTGAGACTCCAACTCGAAAAAAAAAATGTCACTCTGGCTGCCACATGGAAGATGCCTTTGAATGGGACAAGTCTGGAGTCAGGAAACCCAGTAAAGAGGCTCTCATAGTAGTGGTTGAGGGGAAAAAATGGAAAGAGCCTGATTTTTTTTTAAAGTGGTGGGAGGGTTAGAAAAAAATGTTTAAAAGACAAAAACCCAGCAGGACTTAGTAATTTACTGAATATGGACGTGATGGGGAAGGAGGCTCGATGACTCTGGGTCTGTCATCACCACTTTGATGATGTGGCAATGCCAGTGCCACCAACTGAGTTAGAGAACAAAGGAGCAGGTGCAAGTTTAGCAGGAGAGAAGATGCATTTGGTGTATTGCATTTGTAATTAGAGGAGTGTGAGGACAACCCAGCATGGAACATGGCAGTTTGAAGTCCAAGAAGGAGAACTAACCTGAAGATGGGAATTTAGAAACTGTCAGCACATGGTATTGGAAAGACTGGGAGTGAATGAGATGAACCAGTTCAGTGTGTAAAATTGGATCCATTCAGTGGATCATGTCAGAACCATGACAATAAGCAACATCTAAGGTGGAAGGTAAGTCAACAAAAAAGGGCATTCCTGAAGGGGTCAGGAATGAGAAAAGCAAGGGATGTCACTAAAGCATAGAAAGTCAAGAGAAATGAAATCTTGGGAGTGATCAATAAATATACCCATCTGCAGAGGTGTCCAATAAGACATGAACTGACATGTACACACTGATCTTTCCACTGTGACTGGCAGGCTGGCCTGTTCTCGACTCATTTCATTTCAGCCTGAGATGTGAATGGACATTAAGCATGTGGGAACAGACAGCAAAGAAAGCTAGTTTGAGAAGTTTGGAAGCAAGGATGAAAAGATACTAGTGGTAGTTACAAGTGTCTGCAGGATCCCAGTCACTTTGTCCCTTTTCTTAGAAGTGACTCTTAGAGGATGAGAAGGATCCAGGAGAGGAGGATAGGAGACAGAAATAAGAAAGAAAAGGATCACTGAGGAATTAAGTTACAGAAGATGTTACAGAAGGGTTGGGAGCATAGAAGCAATGACTTTCAATAGGAGAAGGAAAACACATCATCTGGAGTTGAAGGAAAAAGGCATGACAATGAATATGAACTTAGGCAAGGATATAAGGATGGGAATAAGGTTGAAACAAAGGTAGGTTACCGTTGAGAGTCACAGTTTTCTCAATGTAGTAGAAGGTAAGATCACCACATTGGTGAGGGTTTGGATTAGCCATTGAGAACAGAAAAGGAAGCTGACCAAGGACAAAATAAATGGGTAGTCAGAAATCAGGGCCTTACTGAGGCTGGAGACCACACATTTTTGCTGGTCCCAACCCATGTGGTGATGATTTTTGACTATTGTGCAATGGAGTGAATGTTTATGTCATTCCAAAATTCATATGTTGAAATCCTAACTCCCAAGATGATGGTATTAGGAGGTGGAGATTTTGGTGGAGATTGAGGGTGGGGACCCCTCAGGAATGGGATTAGTCCTCTTATAAAAGAGCCCTCAGAGAGCTGCCCTGCCGTTTCCACCATGTGAGGACACAGTTGGAAGGCGCCATCTGTGAACCAGAAAGTGGCTTCTCACCACACAGAAAATCTTGATCTTGATCTTGAATGTCCTGACTCTAGAACCACGAGGAATAAATTTATGTTGTTCATAGGCAACCCAGTCTACAATGTTTTATTATAGCAGCCCAAATGGACTAAGACTTACAGTGTTGACATCATGGTGTCTAAGCCCCATTTTCCATCTCCTGCATGCACAGGCATGGATGCCAAAAAACCTGACCTCGGATGATTGTCTCTTACTCCTTCTCTGTGTGTCTCTGTCCAGGAGCTGTATTCTCAATCCTACGATGCTGTTGGGGTAATGTTTGCTTCCATCCCAGGATTTGCGGACTTTTACTCACAGACTGAAATGAATAACCAGGGAGTGGAATGCTTGCGTCTGCTGAATGAGATCATTGCTGACTTCGATGAGGTAAATCTCAGCCTGAGAAACTGATGGTCACAAATGGGCAGCATTGTTGTCATAGCATCATGTTCTTCATTGTAGGAATGACCGTTTATGTGTGGCACTTACGGAATCCCAGCCTGCATTATAAACACAGACATGCATTATCTGGTTTAATTATCACAGTTATCACCTGAGATAAATTGGGGTTTTTTTCCATTTGGGGAATAAGCCTCAAAGAGGGTAAGTAACTTAACTCAATATCACATAACTAGCAAATGATAACACCAAGACTTGTTCGAGGCCTGTCCAAGGCCAATGCTACTCAGAAACTGTCATCACAGAGAGTAGACACTGATGGGGACATGTCTTTCTCTGCTCAAAGTGTCAAAGCTAAACACCATCAATTAGCATTTGGTCGGAGAACTGAACACAAATATGAACATAGTCCAGATAGCAGTTTCTTCTTCCAGGCTCTGTGAGTCTAAAGAACACATTACATAAGGAAAAAATACCCATGCTGCACTTCAGTTCCATTAGTGAACTTGACCGGGTGGGCCTTCTCCCCCTGCCCCCAGACCCCATCTTGATGAAGGACAGCAGTGTCCATCCAGTTGCTGAAACCTCAGATGGGAAGCAAGTGACTCATTGAGAAAATGTCAGGGAAGAAGCCCAAGAAAGATGTGGGTTCAACTGAAGTCTAATCTCAGGCTGATCCCTCAGGGAACTCAGGTGGGTAAATGGTACAACTGTCTCACACAGAGGCAAGAGGCCCATGCTTTTGAACACCTGCATGGGTCAGTCATTATTGGCTAGAGGTGGTACCTAATCCCCACGCAATTCCAGCAAAGGGCTTCCCACTAACCCCAGGCAATCCTCCAAAAAAGGGTGCAGTGATGCACTGTCAGTAGACAGCACTCATGACATTCTGGACGATGACCCCACAAAGGGGCTTGGGCTAGGGCACCAACAGCATTGACTGCATCGCCTTAAACAATAGGCTTTGTTGTGTTTTACACTTTATTGCAAGCCATCTTCCAAAAGTGCTTACTCGCACATTTTTAAATTTTAGTGAATAAAGTAAATTTGAACTAAATTTGCATCTCCATGCACCACATGATAGAAACCCTAGCATCTTCCAAAAGCAGAGGAGGAGGGCAGCGCCCCCTCATGGTAGAAATGGGTGTCTGCCCAGGGAAGTTCTTTGGAACCCAGGTTTTAAAACAAGGAGGAAGAGGACCAATAAGAGAAAGAGAAGGAGATAAGGAGGAGGTGAGAGTGGCAGAGATGAGGAGGAGGAAGAAAAGAGGAGGAAAGGGGAGGAGGTGGGAAAAAAGAAGACTGGACGAGAATGTAGTCAACAGGAAAAATAAAAACATTCCCTAAATACTAACCCCAGGCACGTTCAGCATTGCTGGTGTGAGTCCTTGGGTCACCCACACATGCCCTTTTTTTTTTTTTTTTTTTAGTCAAGAGAAGCCCTATAGATTCTGCCTGGCTGAGCTCCAACCAGACGCCTGATGTTCACTTTAATCCTCTTCATGCTGATCTAATTACCACAGGAACTTGAGATTCCTGCAGAATTCTTTCTTGGCTCAGAGGAAAGCTGAACTTTGCACAGATCACACTTCCCAAGACTGTGTTTGCAATGACCCAGTGCAGGGTCCCCTCAGCCCGCAGTCCCTTCCTTGGCCAACCCTAGAGTCCTTTCGCTTCTCACTTCCCTGCTTGCACTAGGGAACTAACGAAGGGGTTGACCAGGGACCACACACTGTGCCCCCAGATACCTTCAGCTGTAGAGTAGATGGATTTGCAGCATGGATAGCAAATGAAGTAACGAAGCCTCCTGCTGCCTCCAATCGACTTCTGAGGAGGAGGCAGCTTTACCCAGACCTGAAAATGGCCCTTGGCCAAGTAGTTCTGAAGAGAAGAAAGAAGAGTTCCCCCTCTCCACAGGGCCACGTCAGATCAGCCCACAGCCAGCAGAAACTGGGGAGTGCAGTCTTGCGGAGGCAGAGGGAGGGAGGTGGGTAGCTGGAGGCATCCCAAGATCCTTGAGCTGAAATAGTAACAGGCAAAAGGCTGCTAAATGACCTGTTTGGTAGTGTCTGAGGGCAAATGTCAGACATGATCTGAGGCTGAAGACCCGAATACCTTGGGCACAGATTTCAGAAGCTCAGCAAGGGCAAAAGAGGGACTTCACTTTAGCTCAAGAAACAAAAGTGATGAACAAAGGCTGCCTCCACTGTGCATCAAGCTACACACACACACACACACACACACACACACACACACACAAAACCAAGCAAATCGCAAGTGCACCTGCCTATGTTTTCCATATTCCCAGAAGAGTTGCTTTGCTCAAGCAGGAATTTTCCAAGTCCTTTAACTCCTGATTAATTATGGGAGGATGCTTGTAACAAGAGAGTCTAAAGAAAACCCACCTCATCCGCTCCATCTGCCTGTCTGTCCACCTCCAGGAACACATGAGACCCTGAGGATAGTACAGTCTTAAAGGGAGGAAGGAACTAGAGAACCAGAAATTGCATCTAAATACCTGCCAGCAGTGGGAAATAAAAGGCCAGAACTTGGACTTGGCAGCCAGGGAGGTTTGAATTTGAACTCACCTCTTCCACTCAGGGCCAGTCTGGGCAGTCACAGGGACCTGCACTCAGTTGTGTGTTCTGCTGTTGCCCTCCTGTAAGTCTTAACTTTTGAAAAAGGGGCTCTATGTTTTATTTTGCACTGGGTCCTGCAAATTGTGTGACTGGTCCTGCCTCTCCTTTCTCACTTGGGACCTCAGGACACCTTCTTTTACCACATTGAGGCCCTACTTATTGATCTGTAAAATAGACCTGAAAATACTGGCCTCAAAGTGCTGCTCAGAAGAGCAAGTGGTCCATGGAGGCAGAGCCTCTAGCTCTGTGCCCCAACATCTGCAGACATTGCCTCTTGCAGTCAACTTTGCAATAATTTTAAATGTTTGACTTATGCTTTGTGTTTTTTAAAAATATATAAGCCGCTCTGGGATTGTTAATCTAATGGTTATCCATAAGGACTTTTAAGTTATGTAATTTATCCATTTTCTCCCCCCACATCCTTAAACATGTTAGTTAACCCTTTGTGTGCCTCAGTTTCCTCATCTACAAAATGAGATAAAGTAGAGTCAATGTAAATTAAATGCAAAGATTATAGAGCCCTTAAGATCATGCTTGGTGCTATTGACTGAATAGTATCCCTTCCCCAAAATTCATATGCTGAAGCTCTAACAACCTCCCCCTTAATATGACTGTTTTTGGAAATAAGGCTCATAAGAGGGTAATTAAGTTAAATGAAATCATAGGAGTGGGGACTTGATTTGATAGGATTAGTGTCCTTATAAGAAGAGGGGCCAGAGATTCCTCTCCCCTTCCACACCCACACCCACTCACAAGAAAGGTTATGTGGGGACACAGAGAGAAGGTGGCTGTCTGCAAGCCAGGAAAAAAGCCCTCACCAGGAACCAAAAGAACCAGCATTTTGCCTTTCTTTTTCTTTTTTTTTCTTTTCTGAAGATTTGCTCATTTATAAAAAGTTCTCTAGGTATAAAATAACAACAAAAAGGCCTCGAAAATGTGGCCTGAAATTAGCCAGGCGTGGTAGCATGCACCTGCAGTGATCCTTCTGCCTCAGGCTCCTGAGTATCAGGGACTACAGGCATGCACCACTGTGTCTGGCTAATATTTTTTTGTTGAAACCAGGTATCACTGTGCTCCCCAAGCCAATCTCAAACTCCTAGGCTCAAAACAATCCTTCCACCTCGGTCTCCAAAAGTGCTGGGACCACAGGCATAAGCCACTGCACCCGGCCAAGACTTGCTTTATTAAGACAGAAGAGAAAGCCAGGCACAGTGGCTCATCCCTGCAATCCAAGTTACTCGGGATGCGGAGGCAGGAGGATCATCAAGCCCGGGAGGTCGAGGCAGTGAGCCGAGACCGTGCCACTGCACTCCAGCCTGGACAGAGCAAGACCCTACCCACACACAAAAAGAAAACAAGGCCCGGCAGAGTGAGTCAGAGATGTGTACCAGATAGCCACACATGCGAACACCGTTGGCCTTCCAGGAACAGCCTCCCAGGAGAGCAGCCAGAAAGGTCAGACTATAGGAACCCTGGAGGAATGGTATCAGCAGAAGAATAAAGAACTGGCAACTCTGTGGGGAAAAGAGGGACAGGGACCAGGAAGCTTGAAGCAGGCGAGCACAGCGTGTTGAGGAGGGGGAGTTATGGAAGGAACGCAGGAGACAACCAGACCAGGAAAAATGCCCTGCTGACTTGCCCTCTGAGCCATCTGCATTTAGACAAGAGTAGTCCTCAGTTCTGCACCAATACCTGGTCCAGGTCCTCTCAGATGGCCCTGGGGACTTGCCCACCACCCGCCTTAGACATCCAGGGCAAAGGGTGTCATGAAATGTCTAGGAACGCTAGACCCGCATCCAGAGAGGGGCCCTCATGAGCCCAGCATGGGGCCCACTGCCAGTGCCATGGTCTCAGATCTGGTGTTAGCAGAGCTTGTTCAAAGGGTGTCCAAGGTGGCCATAGGGAAGAACCAGGTAAGGCATGGCAGATGGCCTCTCCCAGCTCCAGAGTGGACGTTGATGCAGGAAATTCTCAACAGTGTTATAGGAGGTGCTGGTGGGCTCTGGAGGTGTCTATGCCCCATCAGCCTCAGTTGTCCCCTCCTGGTCCTCTGCCCCCTCCCCCTGCTCTCGGGTCTCAGCTGCGGCCCCCTGGGAAGACTTCTGGGCCATGGTGTTGTCTGCCCAGGATATGTCCCTGTCTTCCCATCACCAGGGAAATTACACTTGGTCACTGCTCCAGCCTCGAGTTTGGCCACTGAATCCAGAAAGGGGCCATGACCCCGGGTCTTTGGTCGTGCCCTGGCCCCCAGCTCGGGCTCCATCGCCCTCATCTCTGACTCAGGCACCCAGAAGGCCACAGTCTGGGCGGGTGAGGCTCTCTGTCAGCGCCAGCAACTCTGGCTTATTG